CCCCTCCCCCCGCTTCTAATCAAAACGAGAAGGTGGTAGGTCTGAGGAAACGTCGACAAATGCAGTCTTATTAAAGATCAAAATGCTCACTGAGACTTTTGAGAATTTTCACACAAAACAGCGGAAATTTTGTTTGAGCACATTGATTAGTGGACACGTAAAATAATATAAGGATAAAGAGAGTTAAATGGAAATAATTGAGTCGTCCAATGGCAAACGCATTGAAACGGGGAAAACAAACTTTTGGAGTATAAGCCAGAAGGAAACACAATTTCCGTTGGCTTCAATAATGAAAAAGGCTGACAAAATGTGCTTTGGGCGAAAAAGAAGTTTCTGATATTGCATTGCTAGTATTACACACATGAGAAATCCGATTTTTCATAGCTCATAGCCACCAAACTCATGTGTCTGTATTGAGACGAGATATCTTTGAATCAATTCGTGGATGCGAACCTTCAACTCAGCCGAAGAGGAGTCGATGAAGAAAGCTTGTGCAAGAATGGGAGGTTCAATCGAGTGTTTTCCAGGCACAAAGTGACTGACGACTAGGAATTATAAAATTGTGGATTGTATATGAATTACACATACAAGGCAATGATTACAATTCTATTCTTTTTAATCTTTCTACAGTTAACTGATTCTTCTGGAATAGATGACATGGATTCGCGACATTCACCTTGTTCGAAAATTGTGTCCAAAGCATCTGGGAAGTCAGAATCTCTAATATTTGTTGTGAACATATCGGAAGTAAGTTGAATTTCAATGCAACTAATATTTTATTGGTTCTCAGATATTGAATTTCCATATCACTGAGAATAGTAGAAATTTAAAAATTAGCATAAAAAGGTAGCTGTTATGCAGGTGGCCAAGTGATTGGAGAACCGTGCATTATGGATGATGGTAATGTATTGCTGTGGGTCCTTATCACTCCAAGTGAGAGAAAACTGGGAGTTCGCGTGGACACACACACAGTTCCGCTCACTACACCCTGTTTTAATTCTTGCAGACACGGAGCAGTTCAGTCAGTTATCAATGCAACTACAATTTCCATCAACACTTCGTACATGAAAATATATTCGACCCTGTACATATACTGCTTAAAATTGGTCATGCATTAACAGCGGTCCTATAACAAGCCAATTTTACTCAAGTGTTGCATTTCCTCATTCACAAATCAGTTTTAATATTAATTGCTGTCGTTTGATCTAGTCCTCTTTTAACCATTTTCTGCATTCCTATTCGTAAATTTGAAAATTCTAATTAAATTATTTAAGTAAATAAGTCCTTGCTAACTGTTGAAGAAATTTAGGCAATATTTTAACTATAGAGCACTATTTCTCTATTGAGATTTGTCTTACAGATTAAAAGTCCTATCAGGTACAACAAATCTCGTAATATGTGAGATGGTGATTTATAACTTTCCTTAGCTTAATTTTGAGAACGACCGACATTAGTGTGATTGCCGTAATATATTGGCCAATACAGAATCCCGTAAGGCCTAAATCAGAGCGAATCGCTTTTATTTTCATTTCCAATAATACCAACATCAATAATCACAAGCAATAGGAAAAACTCGGAAAACCTAGATCTACAACTTAAAACAATATTTCCATCTATCAGGTCTAAATACTTTTGAGGCAGGAAGTAAAATGATAATTCGAGAACTCGTTTCTAAACCCATGCGCGCTATCGTTCGACTTCAAAAGACCAGATTCTAAATTTCGAAGTCTAGTCATGTCACGACAAATTGACACGAATTTCAATTGTTCGTCAATTATATGCTTGCAATAATCACATTGCACCTACGACTGAAACCAAAAGTCCATGAGTATTTCTTCGTTTAAGTAAGAAGTTCCATGACAGTCGATGCGATCCCTAGTGAAATTGAATGCTTCTAAGTAACAGGAGGTACTTCAATTGCTTACAGATTGGTAGAAGTCTACTTAAAATGAGAAAGAATCAATCCGATCAATTGTTATATTTAGTTGCTATTTTTGATCACGAAAGATGGAGCCTAGAGCCACATGCAATCATAATGTCAATTTATAATAATGAACACTTACCGGTTTCAGGTCAATCAAGTAAACTAAAACCTACACAAAGTGTGATTGATTTTCAATTAATGAAACAGTAATTTCATCGTGTGCATTTCTTCTTCTTCAATTAAAAGACAAATTTGGATTTTCGTATAAAGGACTTACATAAGAAGGACAAATGACTCATTAGCTCAGGGTTCATTGGAACAAAATTGCGTGTCACTAATACCAATTTGAAACAGAGTAAATAGTTCCAGTGACATTGAGTAAGGTTCAAATCAAAAGTGATTTTGTAGGAAAACCAAATCGACATTCATTTCACTCGAAAACAGGCCCCAATATTTGTCAATTATTGTTTACAGGAAGTCATTTAAGCCTTCCGATGTTAGTATAAGTAAACTTTAAGATTTTTCATTAATGACGCAGGAATGTGCTTAGTCTTGCCTAATTTGACGAGGATAGCAATTTTGAATGTCATAAATATCAATTATGCATGCAACCCATATCAAATCAATTATTTTCGCAAGAAATATGCCAATAGTACCACAAATTAAAAGCTCACAAATGTATATTTTCTAAACTTTGAATTCTCTAACACCAGTGCACAATGATTAGTTAATACTTCTAAAACAAATTGCAGCAGACAAACGTTTGTCGCCTACACACTCAGACAATAATGTTTCTTGACCATTGTTGAACATTCGCGAACTGACTCGATGTTCATCTCAAATCTATTTGATGAGCAGATTGTGACTTAAATATGAATTTTTAGGAAAAGATTTTGAGAACAAACCAACTCATTCACAGAATTGGATTTTCGAATCGGTAACAAAATGTACAGATTGTCCAAACCAGCATTCCATCTATTTCAATAGATTGTCAATCTGATATTGATAAAATCGATCGTGTTTATAAACTTATTCAATACTTTGAACCCTCAAATTTCACTCGAGCTGGGTGAGATAAGTGCACGTGGGAATTTGGTCTTCTCAGTCTGAAAACTCCAACATCTCCAAAGCCGCAAGTGTAAAGGTTGGCAAATTTAATACTCTTTCCTTCAATTGAGGCCACAACGTTGAAAATTTAAAACGGAAATGCAACTCTTTAAATAGTTTCTATTTAAAGAGGTGAAATTTGCTTTTTCATACTTCATGATTCGCCAAAAAAAGTTTAAAGAAACGTACATCGGAATTCAATTATTTTTTTTTCGTTTTTAAATCTCCTAAATTTCACTTCATAAATGACATTATTATCGCCTGAATGATTATATTATTTGTAAATCAAACATGAAAATGTCTCAGGGTTTTTAAAACATACATTTAAATCAAAAAAATTAAAATGCATTTAACTTCTTCCAATAATTGACAATGGTGAGTCTGCTTATAAGAGAGATAAACGTGTGGGACACGTTTTCGCTGTGCGCGTCATCGTATGCCCGCATGCCCGCTCCCCCATCCTGACCATGAGTAGCTCCCTGCGTGTACACACTTAATCCGCAATACCCGTCCTGAATAAACGAACTCCGTGCTACACGTCTGTTCCCCTTATGGCTGGGCTATAGCTTAGCTGGTTCTGTGGGTCAAGCTAGAAGTAGGAGGATCTGCCATAGAGATTTCTGCGTCAGTCAGGCTTTACTAAGGTAGCAATCCGCTACAAACGCACGATATGCCATTTTTTGTTGATTGCATGTTTTCCTTCGATTCCTCTCTGCTTCATGGCAATTGAATTAAAATTATCTGGGGAGATTTCACGCCTTCTTCAAGTGCACTCGCTAATTCCCAAGTTGAGTCGAGTTGGCAGGATAACTTTCCCCACATCTAATACCAATACAAATCGAAAGTGTTCAAGGTGTATGCAGTGAGATGAAATGACGTTGAATTCAACGAGACAAGTTGGGTAAAATGCCTCATTTCTTCCCTTGAACTTCTATTCTATTTCTCCTGTTTGCAAATAACCACTTTGGAATTCTGAAATTGACATTCGATAACCCAGCTTTGATAGAAGAACTGTAACTCTTTTACTTTTCTTTCAGATATTGAAAAATTCTTGTTAGCAAACGGTTGCCATCGAGTAAGATTAATATGAAATACCACCTGAGGAAATTTGAGAGTCATCGCTATTTAGCTCAATTCAGCAAAATGTTATTGGAAATTCCTCATAGTTCCATTAAATACTCTTTTATCATTGCGCTATTAGCTATATAATTCACATAAATATTTGTCTTGCTTTGGTTACTGGTACTAAATTCACATTGAATATAATTGCAATCAACTTTAAATCTTGCACACCATTTGAAATATGCAATAAAGCGGTTCTAATACCTGATCATTCGGTTTATTTAATTGAGTCAATAAATTGGCATTTTGAGTGCGTATTAAGAGGTTCCATTTCAATGGACCTATTAAGTTGTCCCAGTTGAAGTGCTATTACCCAGAGAGAAATTAAAATACGTTTGCAGAGCCTACGTTGAAATCTGCATTACTGTTGCATTAATTTGCAAAATTGCACAAACCCAACTTTTGTAAGTGATTTACAGATTGGGGTAATTGAAATTGTGAAAGTCATAATGGTAGGACCTCCAATGTGTTTAATCATTTATTATCAATTAAATTTATTCAAAAA